TCCTTAAGAACATAGAATTGTGGAATTTACGAGGGAGAAGGAAATGCTGATTGTGTTAGATGCTTCGCAACTAATATACAAGGCAATTGGAACAAAGATTTCCATTCAATTTACTTAGCTGTACCACTGCAAACACTTAAACCCCAATGTTACTCTAACAAAGCAGGACCAACCTTTTCTAAGAAACATTAGAGAGATGCTTAGAGAAGGAAGAATTTTTTCCCCCTGGAGGCTGTATAAACATATAATAAAACTCAGTATTTGAAATGCCCGAAAAGTTCTGCAGACCTTTTTGGGACACTTTTGAGCTTTAAATTCCAGAATGACTTCCTACCTGACCATGGCTGTGGATTAGACAGCTTTCGAGCCAACCCACACTTGGGAAACAGTCCTATGGCCTGCTGTTCTCTCATCTTCCAACTCTCACAATAAAGTAGCCCTGTTCCCCTCCTGACCTTGCTCTCCATCACTCCTTGGAGAAAGGCAGGAGGAGACTTCATCTTTTCCTGGGTCACAAATGAGGACATCTTCACCTTTTCCAGTAAGCACTCTCCACATGGGTTGAACTTCATCCTCCACCATTCTCAGCTCTGCTTGCTGAGTGATATGGTTAGGTATCCCAAGAAGGGGATAAGTGGTGTCTTCCTTCCTTCTTCAAACTCATGTCTTGGCTGTCCTTCTGGGAAGGTAAAGACTCCCCAAAGTGGCTAGAAGGCTTCATGCTACAGAGTAGGGATACAATTTTACCTCCACTCCAACCTCCAGTCATTTTATTTATTTCATTTCATTTTTTTTTCATTTTATTTAATTTGTATACCGCCCTACTCCCGAAGGACTCAGGGCGGTGAACAGGCACAGAATAAAACAGGTAAAATACAAAAATACAAAAAGGCTGAAAGGCATGTAGGGATCCCCCAAATTTGTATCCTTGCTTGGTTGGGTCTCCCGGACTCCTGACCAGTCCAAGGCGTTGGATGCTCCAGCAATTCTTCCTCCTCCGTCTCTTTTCGGGGGACGTGTCAGCCTCCCTCTCCCTTCGGTCTCTCTTCGGAGCAATCGGGGGGGGGTCGCGGTAGGTGGGTGGGTGTGGCTGGAGACATGACGCAGCCTTCGGAAGCGGCGGGAGACCCTCTGGATCTGCCGCAGCTAAAAGCAGAAAATGGGTGGCCGTCTGAAAACGAGGAGCGGCTCTTCGCGTCTGGGTTCACCTTAAAAAAAAAAACGACTGAGAACTAGGAGTCCCTCCCAACTCTTTGCTCTGGGAGTTGGAGCTCCGGAGACAAACGGGGCAAATGAATTCCCCCCAGACTGCCAGAAGATACGGAGCATTTTCTGTAGAGGACGCCCTAACAAACAAGGCGCCTACGGGTGGGATCGACGAATTTTAGCCCTTCCAGAGAGAAACTGGGCCGCCACCGACGACCTTCCCAGCCATTCCTTGGTCCTGTTTGGGGATGATGGGAATTGCAGTCTAACATGTACGAAGGGCTGAAGGTTGGGGGAGGGGTCGCATGAAACCCCCTACTCCAAGTGAAAGTCGCGTTTGAAGAATTCTCCCCCCCACCCCAGAAAAAATTACTTTCTTTTCTAACGATTTAAGCTATCCCGAAGTACAAGGTTCCTGATAAGTGAGCCTCTGTCCTCTTTTGCTGGGTTTGCCACGATCTGCCTGATAAAGAAATCTAGAACTCTCTTCTGTTTATGTCTGCTTTGTGCCTGTTGGGGTTGACCTGTTGCATGTATTTTAGAATTTCATATATGTGTGTATTTTTCTTTTTCTTGCTCTTCCTTTTTTATCTTATTATGAATAACAGAGGCGTTTTTCGCTGCTGTTACCTGGTTCTGTGAAAGGAAGAACTCGGGAAAGATTAGGAAAAGGGGAAAAAAATGGGGGGAGAAGGAAACTAGGACCCTTTTTAAAAAGAGAAGAACTCATTTCCAAGCAAGCTTTGGCTTAAAAACCCGAAGTTGTTTGTCTGAACGATCTAACCTCTGTTCCACGCGCGTCAATAGCATTACATTGTAACTCTGAATCAGCCATTGGAAAGGCATTACTTTTCCTGACAGAGTCCCGTTGATTTTGTTGGTTCGAAATCCCACGGAATCGATCGGTGTCCTCTTTGGACATTTCCCCAAACTGATCACCTCGGTCGGCCCCAGATCGGAGCGCCAAGTAGCTGCAATCGCGGTACTTCCTCTGACTCTGACTTTGGCTTGGGCCAGAGCTCATAAAATCCGCCACCCTAAATTCCGCTACAAGATTCCAGCTAAACGAAGAATTCAGTAACTGGCAGAAAATCAGCTCCGCTGAAGTTTATCGTAAGGCACCTGTCAATAGCATTTCATTGGAAGCGTGAATGTGCTTGGAAGAGGGTTAAACTAATGGAGAAACGGGCAATATCTAGAACAGAAGTCCCTTTCTTTCTTTCTTTCTTTTTCTTTCTTTCTTTCTTTCTTTCTTTCTTTCTTTCTTTCTTTCTTTCTTCTCTTTCTTCTCTTTCTCTCTTTCTCTCTTTCTCTCTCTCTCTCTCTCTCTCTCTCTCTTCTTTCTTTCTTTTTCCAGAGGGCTTGTTCTTTCTCTTTCTCTCCCCTCCTCTCCCCTCATCCCCCCTCCCCCCGGATTTAAACTCCAAGAAAATGTATAACCTAATGCCATAAGGACACTGGCTTCCTAGTAATGTTGCTTCTTGCGAGCACTCACTCAATGCAGGCAGCTGCGTTTGGGAGGATGTGTGTGTGAAGATTTTGGAGACAATAGGAAGGATACAAATGCAACTTTCTGAGTTGGAATAGTTAGGATGCCGTGGGAGAAACGGAGAGAAAAAAAAAAGCAACTGAAATATCGGTCCAAGTGCTATAGTCACCTATTGGTCTGACCTAAAGAAAGTATTATTAGGAGAAGAAGAGGTAGAAGCCAGCAAGTTTAATGGCACTTAGAGCCAATAACTCTGCGGAAGATATAGCAAAAAATAGTTCTCTATTATGTGAGACACGTATCTTGAAAATGCTTTTTTCCATACAGGGGGGCAAAAAATCCTTACGCATATTCACTATTTGGTAGAAATTAGATGTGCCGCTCACGGGTATAATATTGCTTCCGAGACCGACCCGTGAAAGGCAACAGGTTTAATATTCCCACTCGCCCACAGTAATTGGATACACAGCTATGGTCTGGGGCGCCTTTTCCTCTGCACTGAAGACTACCAGCAAGTCCAAATAGGTCTTTTAGAGAAGTTATCTAAGGATGGGCTCCTGCACGAATCCGAAAGCTCGGAAGACTGAACCTCTGGTCCCGGTGACCGACCCAAGATTAGATCTCCGAATAGGTCTGATCTTACGTCGCAGTTGCCTTTCCACAATCTTTCTTCTTTATTGGTGCAGCTTTTCTTTTCTTTTTAAACTTTTCCTTCGTCTTGGCCTTCCCTTCTCAAGTCCTTTCCCAGCGTTCACAACTATTAAATATCCAGGTAAGGTCAAGAGAAGCTGCTGGGTTGACACGGAAAATTTCCACTTAAAAAGCAAGGCTTTAGGGGTCCCCGTGCAGGGCTCCCACCGTAATTCAGTTGTTTTTGTCTTCAACTCCTAGAAGTCAAAATCTGTTTCCCAGAGCTTTTGGGAAGAAGGCCTCTTGGGCCTTGATATGATTCGGATTCCAATCAGTTCATTTTAAATAAGCGTCACTGCTGGTCATGCCATCCTGGACGGTGGTTTAAGTATTATTAGGCCGATTCAGGATCCAGCCTCTTTAAGTAGGAGCGCCGAATGCAGATGGTTACAAAATTCTGGCAGAAAACCTCCAAGAACCCAGCAAGAATTATTTCTGAGTAAAAGAGGAAATATTACCCGTAGTTAAGTTTCAAAAGTGGCCTAAGAAGCTATCCCTTGCTTACGAAGAACAAAAGACAATTTCTTTAAAAACTCAAAAATATCGCAGGTTTCCCCACAGATCAAGCGTCGTGGAGTGCAGGAATTCGAGATGTTCTTAAAGCCGAATCGGAAAATTCGCTCAATTTATGCAATGTGGGACCTTATTTTTCAAATAAAAAAGCAACGGGCAAGGAGAGACACATACCTAAGATGCAAAATAAACTCTCGACTGAAAGAATCGACCAAGAGGAGCTTCAGAAAAGATCTCCCCCTCCCACCTTGTATTTGGAAAGTCAGGCTGAAAAATGGAGCGCGGGAGGCGGCAGTTCTAATGTAATCAATAGGGACACGAAATCTGCTATAAAAGGTATTTTGCTGGATAAGATTAAGCACCCTCGGAAGCGAGAGAAAGAGAGAAAGAGAGAGAGAGACTCAAAAATCCTTCCAGATCAAGCAAAGGACAAATTTGTCTTTCTCCACGTCTGGAAAGGAGGGGAGGTGGGTGGAAATCAAGGAAAAATATATAAGGAAACGGCAAATTCACAGATTCCGTTTTATGTCGCTCGGTTTCTGCTGCCGTGGGAAAAGCCGCGTTGGTGTGTTTAGCGGTCTCAGAAAAGCGGAATGAGCCGGGTTGAAAAAAAAAAGAAAAGAAAAGAAAAAAAAGAACTTTCATTTGTAAAAGTGGCTTTGAATAATGGTGCGAAAGGTCTGGAGGACTTCAGTGACATCAAACGCCGTTCTTATTAATTTTTCTCAAAATTTATTGCTTAAACCCAGAAGGGATAAAGGGGGGGGGGGGGAGAAGAAGAAGAAAAAAAAAGCAGCTTACGCCTAACTAAACTCCCATTCCGCGGGATTTATTTAATCGTTGGAAAGATAAATCAGCTGGTAAATTTACAGCCATTTAAAAAAGTACCTCGACCGACTTTTATCACGGAAGCTTCAGGCAGCCTCGCTCCGACCCCGCCCCCTCGCCTCCCTTTGCCCCGCCTCCGTTCCCCCCCCCCGCAAGACAGGCCGGCTGGGCGGCGGATGCAAAAGCGGGAGCGTAGGCTGCCGAGCCATTGGCTGAGAGCAGCGGCCTCGGAAGAGATCTCGGCCAATCGGAGGAGCGCGGCTGGCAGGTGGCTGCGAGGTTATCAGCGCATCTTGTCCCGAGCGGAGAGTCCTTCGCCGAGGCGTTTTCGCAGGCGGGGAAGCTCCGCGGAGGCCGGGAAGGCAAAGGGGATCGCGTGGAGGAAAAAGGCTCTGCAGGATTTCCAATCGGGGCTTTTTTTTTTTTTTTTTCCTTCCCAAAAAGCAGAAAAGCCGCCAGAAAACTGGAGCGGGCCGGTGGGGTTCCTCCCGCGCCTTCTTTCCCGGGCGACCGCCACGCCCTGGTCTCCCTCCACCCTTGGCCTGCGGACGTCTCACCCCGGGCGATCGAGGCTGGGCTGGCCCTCCTCGGCCAACAAGCGGGACTCGGGACGATCGCGGCCTCTGCTCGGCGCCGTCCACGCGGGGCCAAACTTGGCGAGCCGCCTCGGTTCGCTCGGCTGCTACTTTCTGCGCGCCGCCGGGGAGGCCGAGGAGGGTCCCGACTTCGCTTTCTCCGAGTTGGAGGACGGGAAGCGGCGGCGGCGGCGGCGGCTCCCTTTTCTCCCCTCCTCTCCCTCCTTCCCCTCCCCCCCCGCTCTTCTCCTCCTCCCCTCCCCCGCCGCCGCCCCCCCTTGATGCTCCCCGATGTTAGCCGTGGGGCAGATGGAGGCTAACCGCCAGGGCGCCTTCGTGCTCAGCAGTACGCCGCTGGCCGCGCTGCACAACATGGCCGAGATGAAGACCTCCCTCTTCCCCTACGCCTTGCAGAGCCCGGCCGGCTTCAAAGCGCCCGCCCTGGGCGGCCTCAATGCGCAGATCCCGCTGGGCACGCCGCACGGCATCAGCGACATCCTGGGCAGACCCGTGGCCGGCGCTGCCGCCGCCGCTGCCGCCGCCGCCGCCGGCAACCTGCTCTCCGGCCTGCCCCGCCTGAACGGACTGGCCGCCGCGGGGATGTATTTCAACCCGGCCGCCGTCTCCAGATACCCCAAGCCCTTGGCCGAGCTGCCCGGCCGGCCCCCGATTTTCTGGCCCGGAGTTATGCAGGGATCGCCCTGGAGGGATCCCCGGCTCGCCTGTCCCGGTAAGGCGGGTTTGGGGGCGGGGGGGGGGGGCGGGGAGGAAACGCGGGGGGAGGGGAGGCCGCAAAGGAGCGGAGACGGCAGGTAAGAGATCCGAGGGGATCGTTTGGATCCCTTTCGATTTTTTTACCGCCCCTTGATCCAGGGTAGAGACTCGCTTTACAAATGCCAGCTCTCCGCTCATCGTTGGCCCCGGGTGGGCTCCCCCTCGGCGCTCTGCCCATGCCCGGATCCCCTCGGCTCTTGCTGCAGCCGTTTCTGGGACATTGGAACAAAACGCCGCTCTTGGACGCGAAGTCGGCGAGCTTGCCGGGAAGCGGACTCCGCCGAAGAGTCCCGTCCCGTTCGGAGGCCCGCAGGCTTTGGGCTTCTCTTGCTGTCGCCTCCGCCGTCCGTTGAGCCAGGCGGGGAAAGCGAAGCGGGTGGCGGCGGGGAGGAGGAGGGCGCCCGGGCGAGGCGGCCTTTCCCGAGGCTGCGCGGGGCGGGCGGGCAAAGGCTGCTTTCGATTCGCGCGCCCAAGCCGCTCGGCCTTCGTCCGCCCTTGGAGACGCCGGGTCCGTTTCCTTGGCTTTCCCGGCCTGTGGGAGTGGAATTGCCGGTTCAGGATTCCGGTCGAGCGCCTAGGAAGCGTCGCGGTTTCCCCGCTTAGACGTTCCCCTTTCGGAGCTTCTCGAGGCGCTGATGGGGGCTCTCCCTCTCCCTCGTTTTCAGCCCAGGCTGGGATGGTTTTGGACAAGGACGGCAAGAAGAAGCACTCGCGGCCGACCTTCTCGGGCCAGCAGATTTTTGCGCTGGAGAAGACGTTCGAGCAGACGAAATACTTGGCCGGTCCGGAGAGAGCCCGCCTCGCCTACTCGCTGGGGATGACGGAAAGCCAAGTCAAGGTAGGGCGCGCTCGGCCAGGGTGGCGCCGAGCTCGGCTTTCCGGCGTAGCAACTCCAACGTAGATTCAGATCGAGGCGGGAGGGCTAAATAGCACTTACACGTTGCAAAATCCTAACATCTCCGGGGCCGCCGGTATCAACCCCGGTGAACTAGAAGGGTCGCTCTCCCAACTTGTTCAGTTCCAGAGAAAGTATTCCCAAAGTGATTCACAGATTGCCTGGATTTAATCCAGGTTGTGCCAGTTTTCTTAGTAGACCCTTTATCTTGCCGCTGCACTTAAATGAATGCAAATGAAGACAAGCTGGGTTTCTAAGAAACACAAGGTTTCTTAGAACAAAATTAGGTTTACTGTCAAAACCTTAGGTTTCCTATCAGACAGCTCATATTAATGCACACAGTTCATTCCTGAATGTCAAAAACAAAACAAAACCAAAAAAAAGCAAATCTTGAACTTTGGGAAACTTTGATTTTTATCACAGATCACATTCTTCATAGCAAAATTTACTAAAATAAAACAATTGTCCATTGCTACAATTAAATAAGAAGTATTATGGTTCTTATAGGTTAAACATATAAGAGGTTGCATTTAAGAGGTTAAATGCAAAGATTGACTTTTCAACCTTTCTCCCAAACTCCAAACTTACTCTGCTGCTCCCCCATCTGTGCTTGTTTCACCTTTTCATTCATTTTAAGTTCTAGCTATGAGATAAACTGAAATGTTTAAGGTCTGGAAAAAAACAGACCTTACATTCCTGGCAAGATGCAAATTATTTAAAAATGAGAAATCCTTTTTGGAAATAAAAGCTAAACTAATTAATTGAAAGTTTCCCTGTAGCCAAGTTTGAGACGACCTCTGCATTACAAATCCTCTCAAAGAGCTTTTCTTTAGTGGGTTCAGAAAGGCAATTTCACCATTTTCTCAGGAACCAGCAAGGAATTCAGAAGCATTTTACTTAATGAGGGATTTTGCAATAACAACCTGTTGAACTGAAAATAAAATACTTCTATGCCAAACCTAAAATATGGATTGGAACCAGATGCTTTCTTTACAAATTCAAAGATTATCTCTTCCTGAATATAGAAAGCCTCTTTTTAGGCAAAGTTAGTGCCTATGTGTTTTAGTCTTTCTAGAAAGCTGCAATTTCTCTCACAACTCTGTACTATGGTCATTCTTAGAATTAATTGTCCTGAAAACAAAAGAAATAATAGTCTTAAAGGTTGCCTTATTTTCTAGTGTTACAGAAGGCCAAAAAGAGATATTAATACGAGCTAACATGTCTTATGCCATTAAAGAGGCCAAGGGACTTGCTTAATGTGTGGCTAACAGCCTGATGCACATACAGTGATGGACCTCACTGTACTGAGATTTAATCCATGTTCTGAGCACGTTTTCTCTTATTTGATTAATTTATAAAAAAGAAAGAAAAAATAAGTTTAAAGTTTTCAATTGGAATATATTTAGATAGTAATAGTGCCAATCCAGTAATTAATACCAAGATATCTGAAGAATTTCAGACCCCACCCCCCACTGCAAAGTTAGCAATTAATTCCAAAGGGGCTTCTTGGAAAGTAAGCTCTATTGAGTTCAGCTGGTTTTTGTTTCTGGTGAAAGTGGTTCATTTGTATTTCAAAGAGGCTTGCTGGGAGTGCTCCTTAAATCAAAGGGGACTCTCCCTCGGAGTAAATCTGCTTACAGGATAATTGAAAGCCTTCCTATTTGAAAGCAGGGTTCTTAGAAATTTCCTTCCTACAAATTACTAACTTTGGAATCGGTGGTGGGATGAGTGAATGGCGTGACATGGTTTAGAGGCCTGTGCACCTGCACATAGGCAAATTGTTCTGCAGGTGTCTTCTGCAGAAGCATTGCAAGGTAGTCAGTTGAAGAATAATTATACCAAGTTCTAGACTCCAAGGGCAAAACATGATTTTTTAAAAAATATTCATTATGAGCTTCCACCTAATCACAGGACCCTAAACTACATTTTCTTGGAATTGTGCAGGAACTCAGAAAAAAAGATGTAGCTGCACAAAAGTGATTATTGACAAGGTTTTTGTGGGTACCCACATATTCCCTGAATTGTTTTGATCTTCAAATCCAGACTGCTGCACTATTTTAGCAGAATGTTTAATGTTCCCTATATCCCACTCAAAGTGGGATATAGGGAACCTATTGTAAATAGATCTCCAGGACAATACCTCCTGGTGTTTGTATATTTGCATCGAAATGTCTATTTTTGTGGCTCTGGGGTGCAGCTGGTCATAATGGTTGGGGATTTAAATAGCATATTATCTTTAGCATTAGCAGTCAGGATATTATGAAGTGGCATTCTCTGCCTTATGTTCATCGTAGTATTTGAAACCTATTTAGGAATAAAATGTACGGTTCAAATTTATTTATTCAAAACAAGCCCTGTTGCTCTTATATGTAAATCCCACTCAGACTCTGGTACTCTAGTTGCACCCTATTTACAGTTTTGGGGAACTGGCATCTTACAGACTGAAATTCCAAATTCCAAACTAAGGCAGTACTAGCTCAAATTAGAGTTTTTAAAACAGCATGCATTCTTTAAAACAAACAAAACCACAATTCATAAAATGGCAACAACAAAAAAAAAATCTAGAGGGAATGGAGCTTGTGCAATTCTACTTTGAGGATGAACTCCCTTGTCTTCCCTCTCTTTCTCCCTGATTCTTGGCTGGATGAAGAGCTTTTTTTTTTTAACTTTAAAAAAGGTTTACACACTTAAAAAAAAAACTTTTTAATAATCGTTTAGTAAAAGTCATGCCTTGAGTTCTTCTCTATCCCCCGTCCCTCCCTCACTAAAATTTAAAATAATTTCATTTACATTTTTAGGAGTTAGTTCATTTGTAGCTATTTAGCTATTCCACTGGCCAGTCTTTCCACCAAAATATCTGCATTTTGCTGTTGAGGGCAGTGAAATCTGGGGAAACCCGAACATCACACTTGGAGGCGTTTCCTCCAACTACCGTATTCTGCGGATTATTCCCAATTCGCAGGATCCCGTTGCAACCACCAGCAGGCGACGACCGACCTGTGATGCCTAGCGAAGATCCGACCCCTCTTTAAGCATCGCTCCTTTCTTTAGGGACTCCCTTCCCCACTCCCTCCCCACCTTTCACTCGCCAGCACGTCAAGCAAAGGCCAGTTTAGCTGCAAACCGACTTCGAGGCTTAAAAATCTTCCCGAAGGACGGAGGGGGCTCGGGGCTGCAACCTTCCCTCTAGCGCGGTTCCTCCTCTCAGCTGCCCCGGCTTCCTTTGCCATTTCAGAGGTCGGAGGGAGGGAGGGAGGGGTCGCCCACTGGCACCCCGGGGTGGCAATCTGGGTCGCTTACGTGCCGCCCGGCTTGGTGCGCGATAAAGAGGGAAGGGCAGGCCGGGGAGGCTCCGACGGCTCCTCAGCAAGGCGGAGGAAGCGAGGGCCTCGATTGGGTTTGTTTGGATGAAGCCTAGGAAGGGGGTGAAGTAGCTCTCCGGATGGTCCCCGCCCTCGGGAGGCAACAGGCGTCTGACTTTGACCGTCTCTCTCTCTCTCTCCGGCCGGCCCAGGTCTGGTTCCAGAACCGTCGGACCAAATGGCGGAAGCGGCACGCCGCCGAAATGGCCTCGGCCAAGAAGAAGCACGACTCGGAGACGGAGAAGCTGAAGGAGAGCTCGGAGAACGAGGACGACGACGAGTACAACAAGCCGCTGGACCCCAATTCGGACGACGAGAAGATCACGCGGCTCCTCAAGAAGCACAAAGCGGCCGCGGCCGCCGCTGCCCCCCTGGCCCTCCTCAGCCCCTGCAGCAACGCCTCGGAGCCCTCGTGACTGCGGCCAGGCCCGGCCCGGCCCTGACCCGTCCCTCCGTCCCGTCCCTCCGTCCTTTCCGCCGGCCAAGCAGGGTAGTCGACGCCAGCGTCGCGACTGGCCGCCGCCACGTCGTGTACAGCCCCGCGTGTCGGGAAAGTCCTTTCTGTATAAATATACATATACATATATATATTTTTACCGAATAAGTTATGGCAAAGGAACCGCCGCCCTTTTCCTCTTCACCCCTGTCCGTTGCGCAGGAAGGGAAGAAAAAGTTATTGCGGCCTTCGGGGGGCAACGCCTGGGTTTCTTGGCCTTCCCGCCTCCTTTTTCCACCCCGCGTCCCCCCCCCCGCTTTTGACTTCGAGAACCGAAGCTACCGGTTCGATTGGAAAGAGCAGCGCATCTGCAGCCGGGCCGCGGGGCCTTTAAAGCGGGCTTCGCGAGGGCCCGGCAACGTTGTGTAAAGGCAGAGGCTCGGCTCAGGCGTAGCTGGCTAGGCGGAGGGTATTGTAACCGGGACTTGCTCATTGAGACCCGGCTCTCCTAGAGCAGCGGCCTCCTCCCCCACAACCTTTTGGGCACCAGGGGCCGGTGGTTCAGTGGAGAAAGCACCGGAGGGGCCGTGGTTTTGGGTACTGCCTGCATTCCGCGGATGGGGCGTCGCTCGTTTGCGCGGCCCGGTTGCTGGCAATTGCCGCGGCCCGATGCCAAGGGGGGGTTGGGGACTTCTAGGATGGGCAGTTGTGGCTCTTTTTATAACCTGTGGACTTCAACTCCCAGAATTCCTGAGACAGCTTGGCAGCTTCTCAGGACAGCTTGACACCTTCTCAGGAATTCTGGGAGTTGAAGTCCACAGGTTGTAAAAGAGCCACAATTGCCCACCCCTGCTCTAGAGTGTCATCCTAGACCCCCTAACTATGGAGCAAAGCCACCTCCCTTTAAGGCAGTGTTTCTCAACCTTGGAAGCTTGAAGATGGGTGGACTTCAACTCCCAGAATCCCCCAGCCAGCAGCGCTGCTGGCTGGGGGATTCTGGGAGTTGAAGTCCACCCATCTTCAAGCTTCCAAGGTTGAGAAACACTGCCTTAAAGGCGACTTGTCTCCTGTCCAAGAGGAATATAGGATTGCAGATGTTGAACAGATAATTGATTTGGGCCAAAACTTGATTGCAGCGGTTATGCATTGGGGGCTTCATCGGGGCTGAGTAAATAGGTTGGAGGTTGATCCTCCTCTTTCTCAGGAGAGCCCCAGGCTGCATAAACTTGGTCTCTAGGCCTATCTGCACTCAGCTAAAACCTGTTTTAATTCCTGGGATGTCCTGTGCAAAATAACTGCTTTAAATGTCAACTGCTAGCATAGAACTTTCATCCCATTGGATTCTAGTCATTTGGGGGGGGGAGTGGGGGGAGTCCGTAAATGCTGCTGGGATGTCAGTGGGCTGAGGATGGAGTAGTTGCTGCCTTTGAAATTGTGATTTCCACCCCTCCATCCCCTCCCCCCTTTCCTGCTCCTAACAATCAAGCTGTTGTTACTGTTTTGTATATGAGTGGAGGATACCAGCTCAGCTGTGTATATAGAAAATTACAGATTTTTGTCATGTATATTTCTAGTGTAAAAAACGAAAAGGTTTCTTTCCCTTTTTAAAAAAATGGGTTTGGATGGCTTGGCTTCCTTTGATTTTTTGTTTGTTTGTTTTGTTTTGTTCTAAGAGAATGTAAAGGGAGAGAGAACTGCTTCACTTGATTTTCAGTTGCTTTCTGACTCGTACAGTCGGAAAGACTTTGTATAAATCAATAAATTATTTAACAAGCTTTTCCTTTGGAAAATATCTGCCTTTGGAGTGTGATGGCTGTCTTGGGCTTATTTCACTGGAGTTTTTTGGGCCAGCCCTTTCTTATGTAGAAACACCACTTCTTTGTAAGGTTTGCTGTTTTAGTGGAAATATTTTTGACTTGGATTATTTTCTATAGAATAAGAAGCATAGAACTGGTCTTGTTAATGGGCAGAACACTTTCTATTTTAGAAATAGAAATAAAGAATACAGTAACCGATAGTTTTAAAGCCTTAACTTCCATTTCAGTGGATAATTCAAGATAAAAGCTACAAATTTGATTTATTAGAGCATCAGGTATTTTATTTGTTAAATATTCAGTCCTGGAAGCATGTTTGCTGTAAAAGGAAACTTTTCTGGGCAATTTTCCCCTGATTAGATGCTAGTTTTAAAATACTTCACGTTAGAAAAATGCTTTACTTATGGAGAATTAGTTATTTGGGTATTTGAAAATTTGACATTTATATTTCTCAGATCAAAGCCATACAGAAGAAGGAAACCTTTAGGTGTTAATACAAACATTTCTTCCCAATGGTAGTGTAGTATCACCATCGCCTTCATCCTTAGCGAGTCTGTAAATTGTTGTCCAAAAGTATTGCCAGAGGAAACATTTTTTTCTTTCAGGGTTCAGAATCGCTAAATGGGACCATCCTAATGGATGGTCCCCTAAAACTGAAATTGGATTAACTCAAATTAATTTTACTTTAAATTAGTACATTTAATATGATTGCTTCTCATACGTTTAATAAATTCCCCTTCTATCGTATTATTAAATTGTGGTCGTAACTTTTGAATGGGTGCTGGGATCTACATCAGGAGTTTTCAGGAGACACATACAGAACACACGAAGACAGTGTAAATAACTTGGTGTAATTCAGGCTAACTATCATCCTCATTCTAGCTTGATGTCCACTAGGAGTTGGAATATTTTAATGGGATCAGTTAAAAGAACAAGTCAAACAAAGCATGTTTCAAAGAGGCGGACACTGCTGTATGATTCAGTCATCTTAGACTGCAATATTGCTGTAATATGAATCTTATTATACTTGAAAAGCTGGCATCAGCTTCCATGAGAAATATGCCTTTTCATGCACATAGTTCCAAAATAATATAGCCCTTTAGTCATAATGCAGGACTATTAATGCTTTTTGATTAGACAACAAAGCATGAATAGAAATGGGATGAAATGTGAATACATTTTCTGACTTTAAGCTACTTCAGAGATATAGTTTCAAACATGTTGCTACAGGATTTTATGTCTGCCATACAAATAATGTGAGAGAAATAATATTGAGGCTTTGAGTTTCAGTGCTGTGCATGCTTATTTGGGAATATGTCCCTTTAAAATGTGAGAGGCTAAGTTATGTGTAGGCTGCATAATCAGTTCTTTGGTGGAAAGTGCATAGACTTTTTTAAAAAGTCAGAAATTGCAAACCAAAAAAAAAAGGGCTAAGACCTATCAAAATGAGTGAAGCTATTTTCAGAGTTAGCACTCAACAGAGTGCATATTAGCAGAAAAGCCACATCAGATTTCAGTGGGAGCAAAGTTGGTTTATTTGAGCATTTGATAAACTCTGCCTTCCATAATTTGTGACCTTAGGCAGGTTACATCAATGATTTTTTAAAAGTCAAAATGTAAATACAATACAGAACCAATATAACAAATCATAGCCAAAAGCTGTCAAAAACAGCTTGATGTTGGAGGCAGAAAATCCAAGTGGTAATTCCAATAAGAGTGGTGAAACGATAATAGAACTATTTTTCCCAAGAACTGCTGCTTAAGGTAGCCCATTTCACCCTTCTTGCTGGAAAAGGGGGGCAAAACATGAGCATTTTTGCTCAATTCAGGCCTGGTTTTAGTTAATTTAAGAATCATATGAAAAAGGGCAAAAATTTGTTTGCTTGAAGTATTTTTATAGCAGTAGTGAAACGTATTCCCTGAACAATTTGGAAGAAATCATTGAAATATAATTTAATAAATTAAAGGAATACAAAAATATCACAAAGTCTATGTGAAGTGAGGTACAAGATTAAAATGTTATTTTTAAAAGTCAGTGAAAATGAAAACTCATCTCATACAAAAATGACATTTTTTATTTATATAAAAATCTCTTTCTGACTCTGAATAATACATACATATTATAAAAGCAGAATATCATTTTTATCTGAATAAATAGGAATACAATGAACTTTCTCCTAATTGTGAGAATTTTGTTTAAAGAAAAAATATCCACCCATCTACAATAGGACAGTGCTTACATTAATGTGTTGTAAAATATGCAGGCTTTCTAGATATACTGATGTCTTCATCAAGCTAAATTTTAAAAGCAAATTGGAAAGGGAACAAGAATGTCACTACTGGGACAGCCACTTTAGATGGGGGCTCCACCTTTCAAAGCAGACATGGATATGACATTAAATCCATCAAAGCAATAGTATTACCCTGTGGTAAGATGAGCAGCCAATTAGATAGATAGATAGATAGATAGATAGATAGATAGATAGATAGAGTGAGTGAGTGAGTGAGTGAGTGAGTGAGTGAGTGAGTGAGTGAGTGAGTGAGTCACTATTCATCTTATAGCACTCTTGGTAATTGTTTTCATTCTAGTCATCATAATCCTTAACTTAGTTTAGGTCAGGATGGGTTTTTGAAACTTCCAGAATCACTTATTTCTAACTAAGCCAGCCCTTCCTTCCTCACCCACCTACCTACCTACCTACCTACCTACCTACCTACCTGGGGTGAAATCCAAATTTTTTCCCTACCGGTTCTGTGGTATGTCTTGGTGGGCATGGCAGGGGAAGGATATTGCAAAATCTCCATTTCCACCTTACTCTGGGGCCAGCCAGAGGTGGTATTTGCCGGTTCTCTGAACTACTCAAAATTTCCGCTACCGGTTCTCCAGAACCTGTTAGTACCAGCTGCTTTCACCCCTGCTATCTACCTACCTACTTTCTTACCTACCTACCATACTGCATCACCAACATTTAACAACTGCTACCGTAAAAATAGGCAAAGCAACCAGTAAGTAGGCAAAGAGGGAAGGAAGGAAGAAAGGAGAGAAAGAAAGAAAGAAAGAAAGAAAGAAAGAAAGAAAGAAAGAGAAAGAAAGGATGCTGCATTATCCCACAATGGCTAGCATGTGGTTCAGGAATAGTGCTAAATTATTTTATGCTGAAAGTGCTGTTTCTTGATGAGAAAGTATATTTTAAGCATCTGCTGGATGTCAAATGTGTTAAAAATTTCTTGTCCCTAATGAGGCGCTCTTTAAGCTTCATCATTGCCTTATGATATCTAAGCACTTAGTTTTCTCTTTTGTTTCTTTTGTGCTGTATTTCAAGTAATGAATGCAAATATGGCCCATGGGAGGGGTAATTATTTTAGATGAAAGGGCAAAGATGTAATACTGCGTGGGCTGTGTAGAAGCACTGAATTAAACAGAAGGAGGCAGCCCATGTGTTCATTATTTCTGCACAAAATGAAAATATTTTCACATCCAGTTACTTTTAGGTCTGGAGGAAAAAACCACATTTCATGTAGCACTCATTGGTAACTCTGTGTGTTACTTTTCTTCCAGGAACTCATCATGGTGTTTTCTCCATCAGCTCCAGTTTTATCAACAAACCTATGAATCTGATTAGGTTGCAAAGCAATAACTATGCTGACATAGCCCATAGGCTTCATGGCTGAGTATGGACGAGAACTTGGACCTCCCCAACTGTACCCCAATACTCAGCACTACACCACACATACATTTTAAAAAGCCCCTCCCTCCCTCTGAAGGAGAAAATTTATTTTGCAAGAAATAAATTCGTAGACTGAACATTACAGGTGATATTAGTGCCTCTATATGTCAAGTTTCTAACAAAGGTGTAAAAGGTTTCTTTCGTTTCTCCAATTCACAGAGTTCAGGCCACGTATAATTCCTTTGGCTTTAGATCCCATTGGGACTGATTGGCAGGATGGCAGTTTGGTAGCGTGGCACAACGCTGACAGGTAGAAATCCCCATTTTCTGCAAATAAGAATCTTTCCCAGCCCTATCTAAAAACAAGCAGAACATCTTTCAATTAATACAATATGTTCTGCACTAGGTGAATCAACAGCCTGATACACCTACATTGTTCTGTATAGGTTGGGATG